TATGTTTCAGCTGGGTTTAACTGCAAATCCTAGCTGCAATTCTGCCAATTCTGACCTCCTTAAATCCTTGCTATTCCAGAATTTCCAAGTAAAGCAGAAGGAACCCATCCCCTTCACTAGAGTGATACAGTGTAAGAGGCATCATACTTGGTAGTGGAGAGAACTAGCTGTATAAGACACCCCCTTTGCCCTCCTTGAGCTCACTGCTGACCAGGGGGGAAGGGCATGCTATTGTCATGTCCACAGTAACTCTTTTCCTTTAGCAAATACAATGCCTGGCTAAGACGCATATGTCTACAAGGTATGTGGTAAATATGTGTTGAGTAAGTGAGGGAATGAATGAAGAAACTAGGCAGTATGTGTAAAGGTTAGGACTTGGCCAAATAATGTGTTTCGATCACAGCTCTGACATGTACTAGCTATGTAAATGTGTCATTTTATAAATAAATCCCTGAAGCCTCTGTTCAACATCTGTACAGCAGTCCCACAAAGCAACTGCTTCACCCCCAGCAAGCACTCAGTGAATGTTTAATAATATAATGTGAAAAGGGCAAGGAGGAAAAGGAGTGATTAAATATGGGGATTAGAATTCCTAGATTGTGTCTATATATGTATATTTAGAAGTATGGGACAATGTTGGATTTGGGTAGGGTTTTTTTTTTTTTTATGGTGAATAAGGGATCTATTTTCCAAAACCAATTTATTCCATGTGGTAGGAAGCATGATTTCTGAAGACATTGACTCACATCCTGAAAATGCCATAACCAGACAGAGAAAATTCTTGGGTTAACTCAATTTAAAAAATTCTGAAGGGAGGGGCGTGCCTGGGTGGCTCGGTCGGTTAAGCGTCTGCTTTTAACTCAGGTCATGATCCCAGGGTCCAAGGATTGAACCCCATATTGGGCTCCCTGTTCAGTGGGGAATCTGCTTCTCCCTTCCCCTCTGCCTCTGCCCCTCCCACCTCTCATGCTGTCTCCCTTGCTCTGCTCCCTCTCAAATAAATAAAATCTTCGAGAAAGAAGAGAAAAAAAAAAAAAAATCAGAGGGAAGGCTTCTAAATGTCCCTGCTGGGGTCAGGTCCATCTCCAGAGCAATCCCCTTAACCTGATGTGGTAGGCAGAATAACGCCCCCCGCCCCCAAACATGTCCATGCCCTACTCCCTGGAACTTGTGAAATTTACATGGCAAAAGGAACTTTGTGGATATGGTTAAAGGAATGGACTCTGTGCTGGGAGATTGTCTTGGGTTAGCCAGGTGGGCCAATCTAATTGTGGGTTCTTAAAAGCAGAGAAACTTTCTTGGCTATAGTTAGAGATGTGATGGCAGAAGAAGGACATATGACATTGCTAGTTTCGAAGATGTTGGAAGGGGAACAAGAGCTGGAATGTGAGCATTCTCCAATCTGTAAAAGGCAAGGAGTTGGACATTTCTGTAGAAGCTGCAGAAAGGAATGCAGCCTTGATGATCATTTTAGCCAGGTAAGACTCACATTGGACCTCTGACCTACGCAGCTGGCAGATAATAAATTTTTGTTGTTTGAAGCCACAGTGTTTGTGGTAATTTCTTAAGGCAGCAATAGAAAACTCATACACCAGGAAAACAGGGTAGAAACCTAGTTTCAGTTCTTCTCCCGATTCATTCAACGTCATCAGCCCTAAGGCAGCTTGCTCATGGAGATCCCTATAGCTTCCACCATTGCCTGCTGTCCTGCCTGCAAGGATAAACTGATTTGAGAGAATGAAGTAGATTATGCAGAGAGAAGCAGAGCTAAGAGGCAGAGAGAATTCTGATGCTACCTGAGCCCCCAGTTCCAGTCATTTTTGAGGCCAAGGTCATGCTAGCTGTTTGGTTATATAAACTAATCAATCCTTCTTTGTGAGCTAGTTGGTTTGAGTTAAATGTCTGTGAGTTGCAACCAAATGATCCTGCCTAAATCATAAACCTATGGTAAGGGAGGGATGGCTGAAGGAGAAGAGTTGTTCAGTGTGTTTTTTAAAGCCTTTGGGACAGTAGCTGATAATGGCTTAATGTGATTTCATAGCAACCCACTGAGAAACACATTATCCTACTTTAGATGAGGAAAGTCATTTATTGGCTAAATGGCTTTCCTATAAGCAAGAATATTCTGAATTTAAAATGTTAAAACCAATATTGGTTTGCTTTGTTTGTCTCCAGTGAGACACATTGCACATAGAGTATCCTGCCTTATATATATATTTTTAAGTCATCAAAACAGAGCTACACTTTTTAAAGGCCTCACCACTTCCTGTTTCTACAGTCTCAAAGACTTTCCTTTTCCTCTGCACCCGATAAACTCAATGGTTTAGAGTCTAGGCAAGTACTGGACAAAGCTGCTGAAACCTAACTGGTGGTCATGGTAATAGGAGGACTTTTGAACACTGACCATGTGGTCATTTCTCCTAGAAAAAAGACAATTAAAAAGCAGTCACTATTATTCCTGAAGCATGTTATAAGACTCTGGATGTTCCCTCCCAAGAGATATTTTATAATGTCAATGGAAATATATAATGCCACACGAAATTCATGACGTTTGTTTTCCTGGAATATATGTATGCTTATTCTTTTAATTTTGCAAAAAGGAAAAGACTACATCTATTGATGTCACAAATAAGGTAAAAGCAGTTGTAGTTGCATCATTTTTGCCCTAGGGCACCTTGCCCCTATGAAACAGTTACTGATTTTGCCCACAGAGCTTCACAAGGAGCCTGCCCTCTCTGTCTGCTTTTTCCTGTTGGAAGGAATACAGACCACTCAGAGAAAAAGAAGAGATGAAAATCTCTATCAGTAGGGGACTGAAAAGCAAAGTGGGTAAAATCTGAGTATTAAATTGTCTTTGATAGAAAATAAGGGGATTTGGAATAAATGTCTTATTTTTTCTTTGTTTTTTTGGGGTTCTGAAATTTTAATCTCACTTTGTTTCTGAAATTTTTGTTTCTTAAAACAATGAGAAGGAAATGTTCATAAAACTTGGTAAGATGCAAAACACTACTAGAGGCCCTTCAGGTCTTAGCTTATGTGGTATTTTATTCATTGGTCCCAAAACATTCTGTACTTACTGTGTGTTCTGCTGAACATCCGGCATGTTCCTCAGGGCTACAGTGTGGGGCTGTGCAGGTGAACAGTACCGAGGGTATTTGTGCAACACACAACTTCCCCTATTGCAGGTGGTCTTTACCCATCTGGAGATTAAGTCTGGTGATGTCTAGAAAGTCTTGCTTGCATTTTCACTCTTTCCCCTTAGATTTGTAGAAAAATGTTCCCATTATATGTTCTATAATACCCAGTCATAACATGCCACCCATTTATAATGGTGTCATCCTGTTACACTGTAAACTCAGATGGGACTGAGATTGTACCTGTCTTGTTTGTCACTTTCTAGAAGCTAGGGGTGCATCAGTAAATTAAACAGTCAAAAATCCCTGGCTTCTAGGAGCTAATAATCTAGCAAGAGGAAAGAGTAAACAAGTTCAATATGTAGCATGTGGACATAAATACTATGGAGAAAAATAAAATAGGGGAAAGGGGCTTTCTCCTCACTCACTTTAATTAAAAAAAATTTTTTTTTTTAAAGATTTTATTTATTGGGGCACCTGGTTGCCTCAGTGGGTTAAAGCCTCTGCCTTCAGCTCAGGTGATGATCCCAGGGTCCTGGGATTGAGCCCCGAATCCGGCTCTCTGCCTGCTTCCCCCTCTCTCAGTCCCTGCCTCTCTGCCTACTTGTGATCTCTGTCAAATAAATAAAATCTTTTCTTAAGATTTTATTTATTTGACAGAGAGAGAAAAAGAAAGAGAGAGCATGAGAGGGGGGAGGGTCAGAGGGAGAAGCAGACTCCCTGCTGAGCAGGGAACCTGATGTGGAGTTTGATCCTGGGACTCCAGGAAATTGACCTGAGCTGAAGGCAGTCGCTTACCCAACTGAGCCAGCCAGGTGCCCTTTTAAAAAATTTTTTAGAAGATTTTTAAACTTATTTATTTGAGAGAGAGTGAAAAAGCAAGAGTGTGCAGGATCTGGGGAGGGGACAGAGGGAGAGGGAGAAGCAGACTTCCCACTTAGCAGGGAACCCCACTTGAGTCTGCATCCCAGGATCCTGGGATCCTGACCTTAGCCCAAGACAGACGCTTACCCATATAAGCCAGTCAGACACGCCTCTCCTCACCTACTTTAGATCTTTGCTCAAGTGTCACCTTTTTTTTTTTTTTTTTTTTACTTCGAAATAAGAAACATTTGGAGGTTTGGAGTAGAGGAGAGGTAGGATCTGTCTAAAAAAGAAAAACACGAATAGTTTCAGTGGGCCCACTTAGAAAAAAGCAAGTAGGGCAGTTACCAGATCTCCGCTTTGCCAGCAATCAGGCCACAGCAAGTGAAGTTTTATACAGAATATAGAGAACAAGGGCTCAGCCTCCTCTCCCCTCCAAAGCTCTTGACATAAGGTTTCTTAAAACTTTTGTTTGTTTTTAAACACGTTTTTACAAAAATCTGAGCGAACCCGCGTGTTCTAACAGGGGCTGGTGTTGTGTTTTTGCAAAATAGCACCCCACGCCCTCTGTAGTATCACTACAGATCCTGTGCATTTGATTGGGGAGCCTGAGGCATCAGCTATCCTTTTAGATTCTTCAGCCCTCCCTCGTTAAGCAAGCGAGCCCATAAGGAAATGACATCTTGGATAATCAAGATATTCCGCTGTACTTAACACACATTCATATCCGGCATTTTCACACCCGTTAGGGCCCTAATACATAAGAGAAACATAAATGTATCTCTTCCCTCCTGCTCTCGGGGCCTCGCTCCCTAGTCTTTTGACAGGTGCCGGTGAACCAAGTCAGAGCTCTCAGCTCTCCGCCCGCCCGGCGCCGCTCAGCCTTCTGGAAGTCGAGGCCTCGGTGTTCCTCCGACCCAGGACTACAACTCCCGGCAGACTTTGTTTCTCTCCACCTTCCTCTTAGCGCGTGGCCTGCCGGGAGGGGGCAGGTAGCGGGCGGGCGGGGTCCAATGGGTGCCGGCTCCCGAGGAGAGGGCGGAGGAGAGGAGGAAGGAGGCGGACTCTGGGCCCCGGCCCCATTCATTGCCGTGGCCGGGCAGGCGAGGGTCCCGTGTTTTCGGAGTCATGGAGGCGCTAATTCCTGTTATCAACAAGCTCCAGGATGTCTTCAACACGGTGGGCGCCGACATCATCCAGTTGCCTCAGATCGTTGTGGTGGGAACGCAGGTAAGAGACGAGGGCGGCGTCCGCCCAGGCCAGAGTCCGGGGCGCGGGCCTGGTGGGGGTCTGCGGCAGCGCCTACTCCCAGCTGGCCTTTGCGGCCTGTAGGGAGAGGGCGTTGCGGGGGGTGCCGGGGCTCCCCGGGCTCTGCCGCGCCCTCCCGCCTCGGGCTGCGTTGCTTGGGGCCTGGGAATTCGGGCCCGGTCGAGAGACGAGGGGCGGAGCCGGCGCAGCGGGCCCGGTGGCTCCCGGGGGCGGGCTAGGGGAGGGACCGGCCGGCGGGCTGAACTGGAATCCGCGGGGAACGGGCGCGGCTTACCCAGCGGGCCGCTGCTTGCAAGGGCACCTGGGGGACGCGCGGGGCCACAGTGGGCTTGTGGTGGGCCAGCCAGCCCTTCCTCGGTTGGTTTTAGGGCGACAAGGTTTTTTTTTTATTCCCCTCCTTGCTCGGGCGCTGCGGAGTCAGTTTTGGAACCGCGGGGTCGGGACTGAGAAGGCCGCAGCTGTGTGGCACCAAAGTGTTTTCCTGCAGTGCAATCCGTTCAGGTTTCGGGAACGCCGAAGCAGTTACAAAAAACCAAAAAGCAACAAAAACCACAAAACACAAAAAATCTAACCCACCCCGAAACTACCTGTACCTGGGTTTGAGGAAGGAATAACCAGTTTTTCTGAGTAGGCTGTGGTTTTTTTCTTTCATCTAAATTGGGCATCAAGGTTCTCTGGTCTATCCATTTTGTGTCTCGTAGATAGCATAATTTTTTATGATTTTTTAATTTTTATTTTTTATTATTGCTTATTTTTTATTTTTTATGCAGAAATGTTGAAGAAATAAATTCTAAAGTGACAGAAGTACAAGTTTCATTTTCTCTGCCTGCTGCTTTTCTTGGGTTAAAAAGACTCCTAGGACTTTATCATTAGAGTTCAGAGGAACGCATTTTAGAGATTACTTGGTGTATTGATTTTAAGTGTTTTCATTTCTTAATGATCTTTTCTGTTTTACTTGGTTTACTTATTTTCTATTGCTACATTTTGTTACAATATTTTAGTGTAGAGTATAATTATGAGAGAGAATACCATAGAGTATATTCAAACACTGGAGACCTTGGAAACTGTAGACATCCTGCACTCTTTCTTGCATTTAAATATAGTAATAGAAATTATTTCAGAAACATATTTGCTTGGTCTGCTGTAGGATTGGTACAGATTCTGGTCTTTCCTGCCTACATATATTGTAGTACTTGTAACTCCATATTTGTAGTGATCGGACACTAAATCATCAGTGTAATATGGTGAGCAGTATTTTTGTTTAGCATGTTTTGTTCACTGCTGTGTTCTTGTTCCTAGCTCTGGAACAGCCTGGGGTATGTAGTGAGTGCTCTATAAGTACTTTGAATGAATGGCTATTGCTCACTGTAACTAGATAATATTTTAAAACACTGGGACTTCTATCATCAAAACGGATCTGCTTTTGAAAATAGAATTAAAGGAGGTGAAATAAATCTTCTTTGGTAGTAATTTGGAAATGTTTCCTGTCTGTGGACCAGAAACTTTCCATATACTTTTAAGAGATTCTCCATGCTTTTTAAGCTTGAAGCAGTAAAAGAATCAGGGCTATTGTGTATCAGCATAAATAGTTTAAAATCAAGAAGGATTTTTCTTACACAAAATTGAGTTTATTTCCATGAGTAAACCTGTTGGCAGAATTAGGAAGGTTGGAGTGGAAAAGTTAAGATGTCACTGTTAGGAAAGTCGTTAATGTGTGCTACCAAAACCATCCTAGTAGTGATAGGTATATGCTGTGTCTGTATGTTGATGTTTGAAGTTACTCACAGGGGAAATTAGGTGTCATTGTTGTTTTAAGTATACTGTACATGAGGTTTGAACTTAAAACCCTGAGATCAAGAGTCACATGCTCTACTGACTGAGTCAGCCAGGCACCCGGGGAAATTAGTGTTTCAAAACTTGATTTAATGAAGTTTATCTCTGTTTATGTCTTTATTAGCTGAAATTCAATCCTTTATTATTTAGGTACGGAATATTTTCCTCAGTATGTTGAAAATCTCTTTTACTTGAATATGAGTATATCACTACTTTGTCATCCATGCCATTTAATGTTTTATACATTTATACAGCACATGCATTACATTCATATATGTCTGGAATTCATTTATTGTACAATAATTATTATACAATAAATGAATTCCAGACATAATAGGTGTTCTGACAGGTAAACTTATCAGTAGTAGTGAAGATGTCTTCATAACACAGGTATAGTCACTATCTTACACATTACCTATATCTTAAATGGCTGTTGGTCCCATTTTATTGAACTTTTTAGAACTGTGATTTGCAAACTTAGTGTATGTAAGGATTAGTTTGAAAATAAGTTCCTGGATTCCATCCCCAGAGATTTTGATTTTTTAAGTCTAAGTTGGGCTGGGCACCACAGGTGATTCTGATGCAGATGGTTCATAGATCCTAATTGAAAAGAATTTTAGTGTGTCTTTAACTTTAAAATGCACGAGACTAGAAAAGACAGGTAAGCTGAGCCTAAGGACCTACTACCGTCCAGTAGCATGTTCATCTTGGTGGCATTCTTGCTAATGTTTTAAATTTTGATTTTTAAAATTGCCCAAGTAATATTTCAAGCCTAGATTGTTGGAGGAGTTGAGAGGGAAACATGTTCATAGCTGTAGATCATTCACAGCTTTTACGGTTTAGCTAAGTAGTTTTCTTATTTCCCTAGCTGAGAGCATCTGTGTGGAAAGCACTGAAGAGGGGAGAGAAAAGGTTGACACTTTTAGACCATGGTGTATTTTGTAGGTGGAGGAGATAAGACTTAAACTTGGGAAATTTGATCACTATTTTTTAAGTTGAGAATTAGAAGGGTGAGCCCTCCCAAGTATGTAATCCAAACCACCACCCAGTATTGGAATCCCAGTACCCATGACATTTACCTGAGATGCTGGCTCAGAGTTGCTAGTAGGGAAATTTTCACTTTACCTTTTATTTCAGTGATCTCAGCATTCCACCTTTAGTAATTCAAAAAGGAATTTTGGGTTTTAAATGACCGGTTTGCCAACCAACCGTTTGTTTCTTTTTAATTTAACATTTTAAAAATAGAAAGATAATTGATATAACATAAAATTCACCCGTGTAAAATTCAGTTTTAGTATACTCCCAGGTTATGCCACCATCACCCCTATCTAATTCCTGACTTTTTTTTTTTTTTTAAACATTTTTATTATGCAGGAAAGAATCTGTACCCATTAGCAGTCATTCCCCATTTCACCCTCCCGGCCCATCCCCTGGTAACCACTAATCTATTTTCTGTCTCTATGGATTTGCCTGTTTTGGACTTTTTTTTTTTTTATGATTTTATTTATTATTTGACAAAGAGAGACACCGTGAGACAGGGAGCACAAGGGGGGGAAGTAGGAGAGGGAGAAGCAGGCTTTCCACTGAGCAGGGAGCCTGATGCGGGTCTCTATCCCAGGACCCTAGGATCATGACCTGAGCCGAAGGCAAATGCTTAATGACTAGGCCATCCAGGTGCCCCTGTTCTGGACATTTCAGTATAAACAATCATACAGTATGTGGCCATTTTTGTCTGGCTGCTTTATCTCAACAGGTTTTTTAGGTTCATCCATGTATTTAACTTCCTTACTTTTTATGGCTAGAATTCCATTGTGTAGATAATGCCACAGTTTGATTATCCATTCATTATAGATGAATATTGTTTTTTTTCCCCCACTCTTTGGCTATGATGAATAATGCTGTGAATATTGTTTACAAGTTGTCCTGAGGACATGTTTTCAGTTCTCTTGGGTATATACTTAGGAGTAGAATTGCTGGGTTGTTTGTTAACTCTTGTTTAAATTTGAGGAACTGCCACATTGTTTTTTGTTGTGGCTATTCCATTTTACATTTCCTCCATCAGTGTATGAGGGTTTCAGTTTCTGCACATCCTCCCCAACTGTTATTGTCTTTTTAAAAAAGTGCTAAATTGGGACACCTGGGTGGCTCAGTCAGTTAAGTGTCTGCCTTTGGCTCAGGTCATGATCCCAGGATCCTGGGTTGGAGCCCCTCAGCTCAGCGGGGGCTGCTTCTCCCTCTGTCCCTCCCCCCACTCATGTTTCTGTCTCCCTCTCATAAATAAATAAGATCTTTTTAAAAAGTGCTAAACTATTCTAGAATTCTCTATTTTAAAAAAAGCATACACATCCCCCCTCCCACACTGCTATCTACATTTTAGTTCCTGAAGTCTTGCCCTTTCCTGCTAGATATACCTTCATTTGTCTTTTGTTCATAGAGGTGATGATTTTATTACATTTAGTAATTTCGTGCTAGATATTGATCATAGTTTTCATTCGTATATTGATTTCTTGTGAATATTCTTAGGTGAACTTATATTTTTATTTTTTTCCTAGTTTCTTTATATAGCTCATGTGTTGCTTCCTTTTTTTTTTTTAACTTAAAAATGAGGTGAAATTTGTATAACCTAAAACTTGCCATTCAGAGCCACAGTTCATTGGCATTTAGTACATCCATGGTCTTGTGCAATCACTACCTCTTTCTAGGTCCAAAACATTTTTGTCACCCAAAAAGAAAACTCCATACCTGTTAAGCAGTGACTTCCTGTTTTTCATTGTCCTCTCCAGTCCTGGCAACCACCAGTCTTCTTTCCATCTTTGTGGACTTCCCTATTCTGGATAGTTCATAGAAATGGAATTGTAAAATAATGTGATCGGTTTATGTCTGGCTGCTTTCACTACAAATAAAAAGTTAAAAAAAATAAGAAAAATACATTTTTATCTGTTATATTAATATCAAAGAATTAAGAGGTTTGTCTTATACAGTGAAAAATAAAAACTCAGTTAAAAACTGAATCAGGGGACGCCTGGGTGGCTCAGTTGGTTAAGCCGCTGCCTTCAGCTCAGGTCATGATCCTGGGGTCCTGGGATCGAGTCCCGCATCGGGCTCCTTGCTTGGCAGGGAGCCTGCTT